TGGAGGTACACCTTTTTTTTCTATGAAGTAGACTTCTCTGAATCTCCTGCTGTGTTCCTGGGCTAGCCAACAGGATTAATTAGTAATGGAGTGACAGCCTTGGCTCTCAAACAGTTAGAGCAGGGGGCATTTTAGACTACGGGGTTCATTTTACTTTAAAAGTCTTCTGATTTTCATTGGTTATGTTAATTAAGAAACTCTTGAGATACAATTTTCAATGTTACCTCTGATCACTTTTTGGATTTCCATATGCTTGTGCAACTTCTTCTAATGACCAGTTTGCTCTCTTCCTGAGGTCCAGAGAGATTTTAGAAAAGACAGAAAGTCTTTTATGGTACTTTTAGGTGTTGTGGGTTTGGAGTTTGTTGTTTTTTATTTGGGGGGGGCAGGGTGTTTTGGGTTTGATGGGGTTTTTTTTATTAACTTGTAAGTAGGAATTCATCACCCAACTTAAATGAAAGTTGAAAGTTGAGTAAATAATGTAAAACACTTCTCTGCCTCCAAATAGAGTAATTTATACCATCAGAATATAATTTATCCTGCCTGTCTTAGACACCCATTTTAGAAAGAGATTAATTTAATTTTGTATGTAATTACTTGTCTCCATTGGTTAATGAGGAAGCTTGATGACTAGACATGATGGGTGGAATTAATTTCATTTAACTTTATGTATCTTTACTGTATATATCTACATCTGAGGGAATCTCTTTTTCTAATATCCAACCTAAACCTCCCCTGATAGAACTTCAGACCATTCCCACACCTGTTTACTGATGGGAAGTGACAAATGAATTCCTTATTTTGCTTTCCTGTTCACATAGCCTTTGCTTTCCCTATTAACCTGTCTTAATCTCAACCCACAAGTCTTCTCACTTTTACTCTTCTGACTCTTTTCACCATCCTGCTGTGGAGGCATCAGTAAGAGGCTGTGTGGGGCTTAGCTGCCTACCAGGGCTAACCTACAAGATAATCTGTTTTGCCTTACTTAACTTCCTATAAACAGATTCTAGATAGTTCAAATGTAGATAACTTCATACATTAATTTTTCTAAATTCTTTCCCTCTGTAAGAACTGAATGAATCTCCACCCACATTTCTAGAGAGGTAAACATAAGATTTACTAACTCACTTTCAGATGCATTAAATGTATCTATGATTGTTTCAAATCTACGTAATTTATTATTTAAAACAAAATGTTTTGTGTACATTCTGATTTCAGGAAAGTTCTTAATCGACTTCCTCCAGTGGATTCATTACAGAACTCAAAGCTTCTCAACCACAGACACCTGCTTCCTCTACTCCAGAGCCTTTAGATGTAATTTCTAATGTCTTCTGATATCTTTGAAATCCACGCAATGGTCCAAATCTATTTTACTCGTTCAACTTTTATCTTAGAAATTACCATTGCTCACTGTATTTTGCCACTCCTTTTAGTTCCTTTTAGCGTTTTCTCCTTAGATCTTTAAAAGAGAATGGTCCTATGCTGACACATTGTTATCAGTATTTCAGATATTTTTATGGGGAAAAGGGGATATTAAAAAAAACCAACAAACCAACAATCCAGCTTTCTTAGTTCCCATGTAGTATAAAATTAATCTATTCTAAATCTAATATAGATATTTATGAATTATTTACAATTAGGGTTCATCAGAGGAACATTCACTGGGTTTAAAACTGGTTTGTAAAGAAGTACTCCTGGATTCATCACAGAGCAAAAAAGAAAGCTCACCTTTTTTGATTCCCATTTTTAACACAATAGAAAGGATGTTTTTCATGCACCTGTACCCACACTAACTATACAAAGATTCTAGGAGAGCAGATAGGTAACATAAATGACCATAATCACATTTTAAAATAGATAATTTTAAGGAAGAAACCCTCCCATCAAATTCTCCATAAAAACTAAACTAAGTGAAAACTCTAATATCCTACCTCACCTATTTAATCTCTTATTTTTGTTTTAATCATCATGGCAGACTTCTGAAATTTCTTAAATTGGGATTCAGTCAGCCAATCTTCAGTATTTTCAGTGGAAATTAATTTTTCATATCATGTATTAATAAAAAAAAAGTACTATAAGTGAAGTTATAGTTAATCTAAGAAAGTTATTCTCTTAAAAAGAATGTGTCCTATTGCATTCTTCATTCTTTGTAAGAGTGGTTTGTTCATTTCTGTCCTCAAAAACTGAAGGCATATCAATGTTCAGACATTCTGAAAGAACTTTGTTGAAACAAACTATCATTAATCTTCTGCTTCAATGATAGTTTCAGATTACTACAATTTAACCATCTTATTCTAAGAATCTTCTCAAAAGAGAGAAATTAACATTGGGGGTCTTTTCCCCATAACTTTGAAACTTCATATTCACCATTTTGCAGACAAAATTAAGAAGAAAATAAAAATTAGATTTTTTGAGCCATTTCTTGAGTTCCAGATAACATCCTTTCTGTTGGTATTAGGGAGAGCATCTTCATCAGTCACCTGGACAAGGAGATGGAATGCACCAGTTGCAATTTTTTAGAGTGATACTAAATCAGGGGGAGATGATGGTATGTTGGGGACCAGGTTGCTATTCAGACAGACCTCAGCAAACTGTAGGAATAGGTCAACAGACACCTCATTAAATTCTGCTGCAAAAAAATTCAAAGTCCTCCTGAGTCAAAATAACCTCATGACTCATTATAGACTCAGAACTGGTTGGACAGAAAGGGTTTTGGTGGAAAAGGACCTGTGAGTCCTCATGTAAAATAAGCAGACCATTAGCCAGCAGTGTGCCCTGGCAGCAAAAAGACTAACTGGGCTGTTTTAGTAAGAATATAGCCAACAGGTCAAGGAAAATATTACTGTGATCCATTTGACAATTGTGAGATGGCATCTGGAATACTGTGTCCTGTTTTGGACTCCCCAGTACAGGTAAAACATCAGTGAATGGGAGAGAGTCCAACCAAGGACACCAAGGCACTCAGGGGTCTGAAGTAGGAAGAGAGGCTGAGAGCAGGCCTTGTCCAGCCTGAAGGGAGAGAAGGCTGGGGCAGGGAGCTCACATTATTCTACCGCAACTCAAAGAGGTGTTGTAGATCTGATGGAGTCAGGCACTTGTCATAAATGCACAGTAAAAGGACAAGAGGCAAAAACCCCGTGGTTGCAAGAAGGGAAATTTCTACTGGAGACAGACATTCTTCATAGTGAGAGGTTAAGCACTGGAACTGCTTATTTCAAGAGTGTGCAGAATTTCTGTCTTTGAAGATGTTCAAAACTCACCTAGATAAGGCTATGAACAACCTGAACTAATACTGAAGTTGCTCCTGCTTTGAGCAGGATGTGAAACTAGGTGACCTTTGGAGGTTGCTTTCAACCTCCTTTTTTATGTGATTTTATGATTCTTTCCATTTTTAGTGCATTTCATCATTTTTTTTTGTTTGAGTAACCATTTTGAAAGTCTTATCTGTAGGCTCTGTATGAGTACGTGTGTATGTGTGTTAACCTATGGCTATATATACACATGTACATTATATACAAAGATGTAATATGCAACTTGCTAATTTTCCCGAAATCCTGTGAAGATAAAAGCCTGAAGATGTATAAGCTGACATGTTGCTTGTGTTAAAGCAGCCATTTAAAATCTTGGACATGCTATAGTTCTAAATTAAATTCATCTTTCCTCATATATATAGGTATAAATCAGCTATTTAACATTTAAAACCAGCACATGGCTTATAAGCATTTGAAAGGAAGCAAAGGAAAGGATATTGATTTTAGGCTATTGAACTTCTCTGTAAGACATTTAAATGGTTCTTTGGGAACCAGTTCTGATGTTCAAAATTACATGAAAGCAGAGTTGTAAGGTCAGGAAAACCATAAAGAGTGTGTGAGATTCTGGTTGCTGCTTGAAAATGAGGAGAGGTGGTATTAGTATTTCAATAACTTTCTGCCAGATCATTGCTTGGCATCCTTTTCTTATCAATTTGCACCATTGTTATCCACAAAATATTGTATACATAAAACTGGACACTGAGAAAGTAGATCTATTTCTCCAAAATAATCCAAGATCTTTGAGAGAGTGTGTGAAAATGGTGTTTAGAATTATTTCAAACATCAGTTGGGTAATCAGTTGATTTCAATATGTTTCAAAGACATCAGTTGCCTTGAGGAATTTACCTAAATTAGTCTTTACCTAATTTCTCAATATTAATTTAGATATTTAGTTTTAGATTTAGTTCCATGTAGAATGATAATGTGACAGAGTTCAGTTCATGTAATGATTTCATGACTTCTTTTGTTAGGCTGTGTTCAAAAACTACTTTTGTAAGCTTCAAAAGCTCGCGTATTTAATTGCTCTCATTCTAAGAACCTGTGTTAAATATTTATGTATCCACAATTTCTTCATTATTTTTCTTGTTGTGACTGCTAAAATATATTTAGTCATGTTTAATAAGAAAAGAAATCAAAAGCATATATACGAGTGATTATAGAATCAGATAACCTTCAGAGGTATTTAAAATTCTCCTCCAACCAATAAATCAATATAATTGCGTGATTGTATCATTTACAAGTGCTTCTTGTAAGGGTGCACACTTTCAAGAATTTGCAAAAAAACCCCATTGGCATCCAACAGCGAAGGAGGAAGCTGTTTATTTATTAGCACTTTTGAAAAGTATCAGAAATCATTGTTCCTTCATTTTACTGAAGAACAAAAGAAAAAATTCTTATCAAATTTGAACTTTTTCGTGCAACAAAAAAGAAGTGTCTGTAATGAGAGGTTGTATGCCAAGTCTTTGATGTAATTCCAAATGGTATGGTCAAGTTACTAATAACCCTGAGAACAGCAGCTTTTGAAAGAAGTTAACACCGGAGCTATGAAGCTGCTGACACCATTCTAAAATAACAATGTATCTTAACTGTGATTCCAACTGACCTCAGCTGCTTTGTGACAAAGTTGCTAGGGCAATTTGTTCCTTGTAAAATCTTCTGACTTTTGGTGAGAAAATAATTTCTACTTACCTATTTTAGCGATTCAGCCTTTTAAAGGTTCATAAAGGTTGTTCTTCATGTTCTTCCCCTTGAATTTTGTTCAAATTCCACTAAGTGTCTTAGAGAGAAGCAGAGGGATTTTCATGTTGTGGGTCATAAAAGTAGTCAATTTTTTGACATTTTCACCTTAAAAAAAAGGAAACACGATGAAAATTGTCTTTGTGCTTTGGATAACTTTTTACAAATCAGTTTATTAGTAGTCTATAGCTGTTTCAAAGATATATATGTAGGTGAGTATTAAAGTGCTTATTTCTGCAAGTCACAGAGACTGTAGTAGAAATCTAGACAAAAAATACTAAATATTCTCTATGCATTTTTCATATGTTATTTACCTTCAGTGAACACAAAGAACTGCCTTGCACCTGAAATCTGTTTCTAAAAAAATGTCAGCTTTGCTTTTTTACCTTTGATAAAAGAATAAGATGATCCTAGTATTTACTGTGTTTTATATATTCACTTAAAGGGTGAAGTAATTTAATACAGCTTCTAAAGGAAATACTGAATTTTGACATGTAGTGGCATAAATACCTTGCTTTTACATGGGTGAATTCTGCTGTGTTTAACCTCGTATTTATGCTTCCAAAGCAATATATAAGTTCTTTGAAAACAAGTTTGGGTGACCAATGTCACCTGAACATTTGTGCTTATAAAATGTATGTATCAAAATGTGTATAGATGTAAGCATTTAAATTTACCTGAATACTTTTGATAGGCAGAGATCTTGCTAAATTTCCTTGTGACTCCTTAATAATGTTCCTGAACACAAATACATGTTCAAACATGGAATTAGAGACACATGTTAAATATGTGTGAATGCAAGAAGAGTTTCATACCCCAGCACATATATTACTGGAGATGGCATGACAGCATTTTCAGCTGTCATTTTGCATTTCAAGAATTAGAATATGTGCAGGGACATAGATTCTAAGACAACACAAAATGCTATAAATCCACTGATTTCAATGTTAGTTTGCAAAAGAATTGATAGAAAATTCACCTCACAGCTGCATCGGAGTACAGGCAAAACAGATTATTGCCTAGGGCAGTGGATGGATGGAAGCAGCAGAAGCACTATGCAGCTGCTAACATCTTTGCCTATTCCAGTGCCCTGGAAACCCTGTTCAACTGCTGCCTCTGCATTTAGATAAGGGAGGGAATGAGTATGTGGGGTTTATTAGAGACAATTTTTTCCAGTCTTTTCCTCAGTTATTTTCACAGCGATGTATCTCAGCTCATCCTTTTCTGTATGTGTCTTAGTGTTTTAACCCCAGTTTCTGAATCTTGGGGCAGCAAAGTTTTGTTCTGTCTGTAACACTAGGAAACTATTAGCATTCTCTGAATACTCTGCCTTTTTTCTATGATGACAAATCTACCCCAAAGAACCCTTTAAATATCACATATTTCCCACATTTCTTCTGAGAAAGGTGAGGAATATACTTACTCTTCTACTGAAAAGATTTTGTCAGGAGAGTAAATTCCCCAAAGGATTGGTTCCATCATATCCCAGCTATTAGCACTTTGTTGCTTATTTCAGGAATGTCATCATTATGTACCACAACAGTTATTTCAATTTTCAGAATATTTCCAATTTTGCGATATTCCCCTTCACTGTTCTTTTTTCTTCTTCCCCCTCCTCCTTTTTTTTTCTCCAGAAAAAAACCACATAGTTTTCACAGTCTTTTGTTTTCCTACTTTTTATTCTTTCTGTTATTTCTTAGGACTGAATCTTCCTTGCTCTAAATCATAGCATTGCAAACTGTATGATAGTATTTACACAGGTCCAAATCAAATATACATTTAAGCACACAGATAATTTTAGGCACTGTTGTAATCCCATATAAACCTAAGAGATCATTCATAATGGTAGATGATTTCTATAATAGCAATGGCACCTTTGAGCTAGGTTGCTGAAAAAGATACAGTGCAGAATTGAGCTACTCTGAGAAAATTATTAAAAATCTCAAGTTATTTAGTGTCTCAAAAACCCAGATCTGCAAAATATTTTGATACAGACTGCATACCCTGGAGGCTGATGCACAGTAAGTGTCAGACTTTATTCTGTCAAGGTAATTATTCACTTGTTATATAACACTGCCTGGGTGTGATTATTGTTACCTATGGACCATTTTGCCTCACAACGACTAAATGGTTTTGTAGCAAAAAATGTCAAAGGTTCTGAAAGAAGTGTCTTCTAAGGAAATGTGAGAAGAAAAATAATTTGCAATTTTTTTTTGCCGTATTTCCAGGACTTTTTAGTACAAGCTTGTCTACATTCAAAGGTCAGTGGTTCCACTTTCCTCGAGTTACCCAAGGATTTCACAATTCCCTAGATACATATTGTACTTGTGTTATCTGACCATGTGAAAAATATCAGAAGTTAACCAAGCCCATTCAAATTACTATGAAGATGATTTGTTTATACTTGTTCACACTCAAGTAGAGACAAAGGAGCTAACAAAAAAGATTTGTGAAAAGACCCAAAGTAAATGAAAAAATAACTAATACAAAGTGCAATGCACAGAAGAAGGTTGACACGAACATTGATAACATGACATCTGATGACACTGATGACAACTAATGAACAGCAAATAAACAGAAAAAATCGTTGTTCCTCTGAATGTATGTGAGTTTTTATACTTGTGCATAGGATTTAGCAGACTTTTAACTAAGCTAATAAAAAGAGAAAGAATGGGGATGGAGACTAGCACATGACTTGACCCAGATATGTCGAAAAACAGGTTAACACAGGCATAAGCCTTAGGATTCCCCAATCCAGTACACACATTTAGCTCCCAATCTGCAGTCACTCCAGATTCAATGTCAGTCACAACAGAAGGAAAAAAGCTGAAGATCTTCACATAGTGTACAGTGTTAATGCAGACTTGGTGATGGATATACCCTGCAAGGGAGATTATTCCCGTCTTCAATACATGCAGCTGGAATACAAGACTTTCCCTCTGTTCTACAACAAGACAAACCAAACAGGAAAGTGGATATCTGAAGAGGTTCAAATTGTGTTACTTAAGTGGTAATTTTCTAAGTCCCAGTTTGAGAATGCAAAAGTGTATGGAAAATGTTGGGAAAACCACTGTGGAATAGATTTCAAAATAAGAAACAAATTGAAAAAGCTGTTGTTTAATAAAACTGAATTAACCATCAATTCCACCCAAGAAGAACTGACCTTAATGGCTGAAGAAACTAAAATCATAGAAAATAACTTTTGGTGGGACAGATTACTGCAAAAAACCACAGCACAGAACAACTTGCTACTCAGTATGCAGCTACTGGCAGTTGAGATACAAAGCCTGCCAGAGAACTTTGCTCACTAGCCTCGATCTACAGGTGACTATGGACAGCAGGGGCATTGACAAGTGGAAAGATAATGCTCCCACTATGATGAGGAGTTTCCACAAGGGAGAGCTGTGCAAAGACACCCCCTGACAATGGAAACCTTGAGACTGTATACAACCCGCCAATAGTTGAAGTGCAGACCTATCAGCTGGGCAAAACAAATTTGAGGGTTACAAAAAGAATGAAGAACAAGGATCTAATATACCATATATATACACTATATATGTAGAAAATTTGAATATAACATGGACTTGCAGACCTATGAATATGGACCAAAGTGCAGAGTAAGTTCACAAGCAAGAAAAATGAACCTATGCAGATCTGAGATGAAAAGAAAGAAACCATCAATATCACATGCCTCTTGGTGAAGAGCTCAGGATGTAGGTGACTCACTGTACTCACTCTGACTGAAGCCAGAGGTAGCAGAAGGATCAGCATAGTACCAGAAAAAGGAGTAGATATTAATATTTTTTAATATTTTTAACATTTCTGAAATAAGTAGATATGGACTGAAAATAAATCTTTGTTTAGCATGTTAATATTTCAGTTACACTCAGAAGAAATTCTTGAGCTTTTTTAATATAAAGTCTGATTGCTTTTTGCCTATAGCAAGATTTGGAGTACGACGTGAAAGATTTGTTCCCTAATCTCTAAGAGCTCACTTTTTAGTGCTTTGACTAGAATCTTGCAAAGAAATTGAATTAAGGCATAAGTTTTTCAGGAAAAATCAGGGTTTGCAGAGAACTTCCTGGGACCACACTGCAGACTTAGTCTGCTCAGCTTCCTTTTTCAGTAAAAATGAGCCTTCAGTCTGATGTCTTGGAGCCTCATTTCTCAATGTGTGTTCTGATAACAAAAACTGAAGACTGTCTCTAGGACACTTGCTGATGTCAGCATTCTTAATAGATAAAAGTTAATATTTATTACAACAGCATTTGATACTAATTAGTGCAACAAATACAGACAAAAACCCCCTGAAATAACAGATTAGTTTGAGGTACAGCTTTACAAATTCTCTTGGCTGTTAAACCCTCTGTGCAGAAAAAAAGAGATAAGAGAATCAAGGACTGCCAAGTCAAAAATGAAATATTTTAATGAATGTTGATGCTTCATTGTGGAGCAATAAACTATCTATCACTCATCCTGACATTAAAGAATGACTGTGCTTGATAGTTTCATTCTCTATATATTGTTTAATTTTGGTCCAGGCAAATTTATTACTCTCAGATAGGTAGTCCTACCAAACATTTTGAAAGTCTAGACATTCTTTTTCCTTATCATTTGCAAAGCAATATCAAAAGCCTAATTAGAAGTCCTTAAATAAAGAACTGGCAATTAAAACTTTTTTTAGGGAAAAAAAGGAAACAAGAAGTATTAATAAAGAAAACACATCCTAGAATTGTTTACAAATATAGCAAAGACAGGGATAGATTTAGCTCTTTTGCTTAAGTCCTAAATAAGCTGATCTGTTACATTTCTTGAAATGTCCCCAGGGAGGAATTTTCTATGAAATGTCCCCAGGGAGGAATGCCTGGAGTGTGAAACCATGTAAAACTGTCAAATTATTCTGAGGAGTTCTGATATGTTAGATTTCACTCATTACTTCTATTAAACCTGTATTTATTTCCAGAGTAAGGCAAAGTACCTCTTAAGAAAAGAAGACCTTTTACCACTTGATCTAGATAGAACCAAGAGATTGAAATTTATGCATTTTATTTACTGCTTTCTAAAATTTCATTTTTTATCTCCTGCTCTTGTCTTTTTTAATTCCCTCT